CGCAGGGCGGCGGGGAGAGCCGTGTTGCTACACTCTCCTGCCTCCTCTGCCTGGAATGGAGGGACAGATCTGACCTTGACAGATGCAGGTTTGAGTGAGGGTCTTCTTGACTTGGCTGCCCCTTCCTTTCCTCTTTTCTGCATATGGAGGTCTCTATTTAGAAAAGACTCACTTTATTCGATGTGAAAGTGAAGGGTGGGCTCTTTAAATTTTTGTAAGCATTACATTTAGGCTGAGTAGAAAATAGGAAGAAACTGGATGTTTACAGGAGCAGATGCCCAAAAAGTATTTCTTTTATTCAGAGACTCTATTCTTAACATGTTGGGGGTTCTTTGTGTTGTTCAGTGTTTTTTAAATGTGAGACTTTCTCTGAGGGAAGAAGGCTTGTTTAGCAGTGGTACAGAAAAATTCAATTTAAGGTGGTAGCACAGACCAAGTAGCTACTGGGAAATATAACAGTTCTTCAAGCTCTACAGTTGCCCCAAAGCCTAAGGATTCCTAAAAACCAACTCTATCGGAGCCTCAGTGCCAGGCTCTGCTCCCGTTCTCAGGACCCAGCCACATCGGTTCTGGTTTGCTGCACAGGGACAGCTGAAGGTGACCCTGCTCTCTGACACCAACCAGCCAGCTGTGCTCTTTTCGGTTGGTCCCAGCTGGGCTTTCTGCTGCCTGAGAGGAGCTGAATGAGGAAGCAACTGCTTTGTTCAGTTACTGCAGTTGTCTCCTGAATCATCCTGAAAGGAAACTCTTGATTAAGCTCAGTGAAGTACTCTCGCTGGTAGACACCGTGATGTGCTTTTGAATTGTTTCTGGCACACCGCCCTTTTCCCCATTATCTCCTCAGTGTCTCAATGGTTAACAAATAAGCAAAAAACCCCTCATTTTTGCTCTGAGATATAATATATACGAAGGGGTGCTGATGTAATGGGAAGAAATTATAGGCAAGGAGCACTTGCAACACCTCACGCTTCTCTAGCTCTAAAAGGAACATCCTGCAGAATGGATCTGTAGACAAGAACATTTATATTTCAGCTTGTTTAAAATAGCATTCTAGGTGCAGCTCCAACATCACAGGCTGCAAAACCTACCTCAGCTTCCACCTAAGTGGCAAAGCAACCTTCCCTTGGTGTGCATGAGCTGCTTGTTGCCACACTAACACCAGTGCCCAAGCCAGAATCAGCTATTTAACCCAGGTATGAACACTGAAGTTGAAATTAAATGGCTAGATTGAAAAAGAAACAGGACAGAGGGAGCTGCTGGTTCCCAGTGACTGGATGCATGTTAGCTGGGACAGGCACTAGGACCAAATGCTCACTGTCTCTGTGAGCCCCTCACTTGACTGTAGCCTAAGAAAAGAAACTGGAGAAAAAGCCCACATCCCATTGAGAGAGATCAGGGTGAAGCAACATTCAAAGGAATGTCACGAAGACTTTGATGCAAAAGCCCATATAGTTCAGGGCGGTGTCAGACAACCTGAGAAATCTCATTGTGCTAGCTAAAACCAAGTCACCAGGGTTGAAATTAACATTAGTGATAGGGTTCCTCTTTCTTGTTAAGTTCTTGGTGATGGCTG